ATATATTCACTATATATATAATTACTATATATATTCACTAATTTTTTTCTGAAGTAAAATGCAAAATATATGAATAAATGGAAGATTCAGAAAAACTGAGGATAATTCATTTTTTACTAAAATATCAAAATATCCATAAAATAGTTCCATACAATCATGAAAATGGTAGGAATCTTATAGGAGCTTTATATTCAATTGTTTTAGCTGAAGTGCTATACCTAAATTTTTAAAATAAATGTACCTACATTAGAAGTTACTTGCCTAGAGTTGTATGAGTCACTGCTAAAACCATTTCTAGATCCACAAATTCTCATTTTTCATCTCTAACTGGTTTTAAATAATCACGTGCTGTCCCACAAATGGCCCAAATCTGCTAAAGTGACCCTTTGGAAATTGCTGCAATTTAATGGTTTATTTAACAGAACAAAATATACGTAATCAGTTCTTGCTGCTAAAAAAGGAAAAACTAGAAGCAGAACAAGACATCCTAAAGGATATTCATTTTTCTGTAATCAAATCATATGTCATTTAAATAGTCCTATACACTTTCTATAAAGTGTTTGATTTTCCCATACTTTTAAGGAAAACTGAAAATAATCAACAGCATTTCAGCTAGCCTCAATGTGCATAGATATAGTTTACACTGGGACGTGCAACATTTTCTATTACCTAGGATTCTGGAATTCGCTAATTAGAAATAAACCTTTTTATTCTAGGAACACTAGCACTCTGCTTTCTTTTTTTTTTTCCTTTTTGTCTTTTTCCATGTCCGGCAACGGATCGCAACCCTCAGNCCCGTACCGGACCGGGACCAGCAACGGGATCGCAACCCTCGGCGTTGCTCCCGGGCCTCGCTCAGCCAGTGAGCGGGAACCGGTCTGTATGTGGGATCTGAACCCTCGGCGGGAGAACCGCCGCACTTCCCAAGCAGCGCACTATAGCAATGCGCCACCGGGCCGGCCCCTAGCACTCTGCTTTCTAAGCTAGCCATATTTACTCTAAAATCAGACAGACTGAAATTAATGATAAGGTATTCTCCATCGACATCTATTATCTTTACCTATTTGCTGCTTTATGCATCCTGAAAGTTTTATCAATTATCAACAAGGCTACTCTAAAAGTGTGGTATATGTAACAAGATTCTATCCATTTTTAAATATTGTGTATATATCTAGAGCAAAATGTTTGTACATTTAAATATCTTCTTTAAATATCTTCTTGTATTTACAACCTAAAGATATTCAAGAATTGTTTTCATTAATGAACAAAGAAGATGTTATATTATGAGGACATCAAACCAAACTAAAAAAATTTTTAGTATTTTAAAATTTATATTCAGAAATGTCGGTATGTTTGCCGAGTATACTTAAATACTGTATAAATATATATGGATTTTATAAAATAAATTTTAATGCCATAAGCCCTGAATATACTTAATTATGCTTTAGGTAAGAAACTCAAACCTAGTAAACAAAATTTATAATATATTTTCAAGTAAAGTTATCACTAGCTACAATTTTTTGCTTAAAGTAAAAAATACAAACATTGTTTTCTATCTTTCTTTCCTTGGCTTGTCATAATATAGCTCATATTTATTATCAATAAAAGTACCCAGTTTTGCTGCGGTTCAATAATTCTCTGACTACTCAGACTTTATCGTATTTGTGCTTCTTTGAACAGAGGAAGACCTTTTCCTAAGACATTCCTTTGCATGATTGATATTCAATGAAGATGTAGCTAGTGATCCAGAACCACTGCGAGCGAGGAAGGAAGCATCTCACTGTAAATGATTTATATTATCTGAAAGCTTCACTAAGTCTTCTGCCCCTTGCCATGCCCATTTTTATGAAACAGAATAAGTCAAAGATGGAAAAAATGCAAAATATTACTCACATAAGTGTTAAATGTTTGTAGTTAGAGAGTTCCTTGGGAACCAGTGTAAATTGGTTCCCATCCAGATACCTAAACAAAAGGAAACAATATTAGCTTCTTATAAAAATAACAGTGGCATATCATAAAATAAGTGAACAATATTTCACTTTAACTGAGGCAAGGAACCACTTGGCAATTTTTGCTTTAAGAAGTCATGTTCCCAGCTGGGATAGTTATTTAGGAGAAGTAAAGTAAAAAAACAAAAACAAAAACAAAAAACACAGTTGTCCAACCCAGCAGAATTCTTTGCGGATCACTTAGGCTAAATTATAAAACCAAGGAAAGACTGGTGAGTCCAGTCCTTCATGGTTTATTTAACAAGGGAAGGCAAACATCTAGCCATTTGTGTTTCAGCGAGAAAGTTCACTCAATGAACCATATTTTTAGTCATCCCTCTTGGTGAGTCCAGTCCTTCATGGTTTATTTAACAAGGGAAGGCAAACATCTAGCCATTTGTGTATCAGCGAGAAAGTTCACTCAATGAACCATATTTTTAGTCAGCCCTCAGTTTGCTTGTACTTGGGTGGAGACAATATCATGAAATTCATTAACTATTAAGAAAAACCTTGCTGCTGTGGTCAAGACCACTCTTCACTGCCTTCATGTATATCAATACACTTGTAAACAAGAATGGACAGTTTTAGGGAAGTATTTGGGGATTTGAAAATAATTAGGTTTAAGTTTAAAAATAGTTTTTATCACTATATATCTGTTTGGTGATGATAATTTTAGGAGGTTTCACAGAATACCACAACGTTTATCAAGTGCACAAATACAGCATATATATGTAAAAGTAATAAATAACTACATATAAGTAAATTTTCACTTTCTCATTAGAGTCACAAGAATAATAAAGAAAGATAGGCTTTAGGCTAACTGCAAGACACAAAAATAAATGAATGCTTGAAGTTATATCCGTGATGTCACAAAAAGAAAATAAATCTCATCTCCTCCCAAGGTTTTCTTTCCCAGAATATAGAAGGTCAAGAGCACCAATGTCTTTCAGCAACTTGGGCCATCTGGCTACAGATGTGTCCACAAACAATTCCGGCACATTGAATGTGTGGCCCTTTCTACCCGAGTGTTGCGGCCAATCTTGAGATTCCAGGTTGAAATTTGTATTTTTGCTGGATACAGAACTAGTTGAGAAGTTGCCTAAGAAAATAATCTATTTCTAATATTTCCAAATGAAAATAGTTATACAAAAGGCACAAGTTGTCAAAGTACGTAATAAGTACTTGATTAAGAGTTGGGCATACATTATGACTCCTTACGTCGACTCACATTTCTGACACTCTATTTTTCCTTTGACTCCTCTGCCTTTCTTCCCTCTTGCTAAGTTTTTCTTGTTACCACTAGAGGGAAGCATCACCCCATATACTGCAGCACTCTCCCTCTATTAAAGGGAAGTGGAAGAAAACACCATAGTGGAAGGCCAAAAAAGATTCAGAATGTGTTCTATGAATGTGTATATGTTAAACAATCTAAGGGGAGGGTTATATGGAACTGATTAAAAATAATGGATACCATTTGTTCAAACTTGTCCACCAATACATGCTTATTTTTGCCAAATTCTTTCATAATTTAATATAATGCACATATGAAATTTTTCTAATACATGCATATATGTCACTGGCAAGAAGGATCCTGCTGACTTGGTACGATTCTAAGCATAAGCTCTCTGGGAGGTCAAACTATTTTTGTTATCTCTACAGCATATCTTCTTTTAAAAAAGGGTACTTTTTAATAATTTGTAGTGAAACTGATTGAAAACTCGACTTTCTGACAGAAGAAATATGTAGATGGCATAGACAGGAAATGAATCAAGCAGGTTCTCTGATGTTGCTTAATAAGGAAATTAAAGAATGTTTAAAATTATCTCATGGGAATTGGGTAAAAGGGCCAAGACATGGCCAGTTAAAAGGGTAGAAGAGGGATTTAGCATCAAAGATGATCTTGACTGTTACGCTCCCCACTGGGGTATTCCTGAAATCAATGCTTTGCATACAGAATACTCTATAGTCATCTAGCCTCTCAACAGGGGAGGATTAAGGGACTCATGCGATCTTCTGAAATACTGGTAAAACATATTAAAATAAGAACTAAGTACTTAATTACACACACATATAAAGCAGTGCTTACAGTTAATTAACAACTGTGATTGGTAGTGAGAGAGAAACTGAACACTTTACAGCAGTTCATATCTAAGAGAGACATTCTGTGCTCACATGCTAAGATTATGCCTTCCTTCTCTAAGCATTCCATTCAGGACCAAAGTAGGATCCACAGAACTGCACATGATTTGAAAATAAGTTCCTTGAAAACTGAAGCGACATCGTTTTGAACCTCATTACCTATGTTGCACACTGCCAAAAATTTATCAAAGCTGCTCATTTGGAATTTTTGCATGCATCTGCAGTAATTACAGGTACACATCTGCATGAATTACATTTGGATTTAAATCATTATTGATCCATGGTTCCATATACACAAAAAATAAATGCAGGCAACTTGACTCAATTGGATTCACATCAAGCATTTGCACACCGTACATTAGTTTAGAGATAAAGGAATGAAATGAATGGGCATGCATTCAACATGGTTCTAGTAGCTTATATTCTGATTTATTCCATTCTGCATATGCACCGTGAGGTAGTCAGGGGAGTGTGGGCAGCGCTGAAGGTCTAGATATGTGTATATTGGCCATGCAATTTGTGGTAAAATATCAGTTACAAAAATGTCAGGGATAATTGGTCCCACATCCTTTAGGATCTAAAGGATTTCGATTCAAGTCCAAAAAAGCAATATCCCTTTCTAAGGACAAGGATTATGCCAGTTTTCTCTATATCCCAGAATATTATTTATCCCATGTGGTGAAAATTTCTTCTACGGATAATAGAGGTAAAGAGGAATTAACCACATGGAATATCCTAAATGCTATAAATACATTAAATATACAGCATTTCCCAAAGTGCATTCAATGGAACATAACCTTGCAAGATGCTCCATGAGGAAAGGGTTATAAGGACAACCAAATGTGGGAGCCACCTTGAATCTTACCATCCTCTCTTGGAGTTTCACAGTACACCTTAGCATAATAAAGGCACTGAGAAATCCTACTGTGAAACACACACACACATACACATATATGCAGGAACTCAGCAATTCCCAAGGGTTTCTGAACTAGCTTTTGTATTATTTGTTTATAGTTTTACATGATAATAATTAATGGCCATAGAATGTAATCTGCAAACAGGATTCTAAAGATTTTTGGTTGGTGTCCATTCCCCTTGGTGTGTAAAATATTAATTGTCAAGGAAAAGGAAAGACAAGCTCTACTTACAATTCTGTGACATCTCTTGGAATACCTTTTGGCAAAACCTTCAAGCCCTTGTTACTACATCGGACTACAGTATCCAAACAAGTACATTCCGTAGGGCAGCGAGAGAGTGGGGAGCAACTGTTGTCATCATTTCCTAAATTGCCAGCGGAAATACAGAAGAAAAAAAACAACAACAACCAGATTTGTGGTTTTGAAGGTGCTAAAGGGATTTTATGCCTTTAAATGAACTTAAACACAAGAGTCTTGAGCTATGTGATCACTTAGGTATAGGGCATTAAGAATTTACAAATTGATACCATATGTTCTAAATAGCATTGTTTCAGACTGCCTAGGATGGAATTTCAGAAAATAGTTTACAATTTTTATTACCAGTACAATTATAATAGTTGCTTATTTGTTCAGTTATTTATACAAATTATACTTTTAATTAGAATTATAAGTATAAACTGAATTACAGAGAAATTGTAAGGAGACAGACATGAAGAGATATAAAGAGACAGATTAAAATGTGTAGCAAAAATTGCATGGGTCCCTCATTTTAAAATATGGAGCTCAAATTAGCTCCCTGTTCACCAGCAATAATAACAGAACCTGTTCGACCTACCTTAAAGAGCGCTCATGAGAATCAAATGTAACGATTAAAAGAGCACTAAAAGGTGAAAACTAGTATTTCTATCAGATTTACTAGAACTTCTATTTTATGAGGGAATTGCTTTTCTCACTTGAAAATGGTAGTTACTAAAAGAGATGTCTAGGATAATAAAGAAAAGTTAAAATTAAGCTATATAAATGGTACAACCACAAGTTGGAAACTAGAAAATCTTCTGAAACATTTAGAAACTCACATAAAGTAGACTCAAATGCGGAAGGGCACACAATAAATGTCCTGTTGCTAAAGCAAAACAAAACAGCAAAACAGAACACCACCACAAAGCAAAAGACACACAATCATTATTTGCTGAATGGAACTATGATAAGCAGGACACTTGTGCACAGCAGCATCAGAACAGTCACGTGAACACCTGATGTCCAAAGATTTGGCAAAGATTTCATACCGTCATCGCATGTGAAGTCCTGAATGGCCACATCCTGGATGGGGATTTCTTTGAGGAAGTATGGTTTTTGACATCGAGGATTTCCCGTTACAATTCTTTTCTTTCTGAGCCACTCTCCCAACCAAGCCAGGTAGCAGTTACAATTAAACGGATTGGCCAGGAGGTTTCTAAGTGCCACATGCAAACAATGCACCGTTTAGTTAAGGTTTCATTTTCTTACTTCTCAAAATCTCATGCTACCATTTTTCTGCACTATTTCTGTTGGAACGATTCTTTCTTATTCTTTGCTCCCATCCTTTCATTCACACACAATCACACACAACATATCGGTTGCATTCTTTTGCTAACATATTTATGTTTGGAACTTGAACATGAATGACTACACTCTCACATAAGAGAATTTTTAAAATAATTTTGAGCAAAAAATACGGGGAAGGCAGCAATTTAAGGTTTATGCAGTGGGTACTGATAGAGAGATATCTCATTTAGAAATAATTCAAAGTTGTCAGAAATCTGACTTGCTGTCAAACTTCCTCACGCTGATAATGCAGTAATTTAATATAAAGATGAAGGCTGATTACCTTACATTACTGAGTTTAACCTGACAACAGCTATTTCATTAATTTGTCATCTCAAGATTTCCATCTCTTATTTGCTCCAGAGAATAGGTTTCCCATCTAAACTGACAGCTGAGTTGATTAAATGCCAGTTATAAAAATGAATTTACTTCTTTAAATCTCAATACTTTTGGCATCTTACCACTTCAGCACAAATCTATTGACAATCTCATTATTTATAAACATGCCATCTTTAATATGCACAAATTAGTCACTAGATGTAAAATGTCACGTTTTATGTGGAAAGAGGATTAAGCACTATACTGATGGATGGATGCTTCCCTCACATTGTTTCTTTAGTGACTTGAGCTATGTCAAATGCTTTTTTTCTTTCTATCTTTATTCCCTTCCTATTGAGTTAATTAGTATATTTGCATGCCACCATTACCAGAAAATCACATCAGTTAAATAACTAATAATTTCAATGACTACTTTTTAAGTACTGACATACAAGAGACTTGAAATACATTATTCGAAGTTGCTTTTTCCTTTTTTGACACTTTCTGAATTCTATCTCTAGACCTACAAATATTTTTTTTATTTTCAAGCTGTCTACATAAAATATCCTCTTGGACAGGCTCAGCCTATTTCTTCAGTATTTTGCTAATATTGTAGTAAATGCCCTCTAGCGAACAGCTTTGATTGTTGGTCTGGTGGTCCTAATGTATTGCTTGTCACTGTGAATGATTCTTTTGAGCATACTTTGTTGGCAATATCCTATCAATTCTCTATCATTATATCATATATCAAATACCCTATCATTTTATGATACTTATACTGAAAATATCACAATGTGAAAACACTGGGGAAAATCTATAATAATTCTCTTATTTGCAGCACTGTCAAGTTATAATAAAATAAATTTAGAAATTAAGCCACATCATCATCATTACATTACTACAAAAAGAATTATTACAAAAACATTATTACAAAAATATTATCACAAAAACATTACTACAAAAAATAAACGACTAACAACATACTATAATTGTTTCTTACAATTTAATGTAAGATATAGTAGGTAATATTTTTATAAAAGTTAAAATGTTTAACATGAACAAATCTGTCCTTTTTCTGATATCTAAATCCTTGTTCACATTTTTATAAAATGCCTAATAAATGCATTAAAATGCTGTTAATAAAAACAACACATATAATGCACTAATTCAAATAATACATAAAGACTATTTTTTCATACTTACAGAGTAGATAAAGAATGGAGTGTATCAAATGCCCCTGGTGCAACTGTAGTAATTTGATTATCATATAAAGAAAGCAAACGCACAGAACTGAGTCCTATGAAACTGTCGTTCCCTACACAGCTTATTCGATTACTTCTCAACATCCTAAGGGAAAAAAAGAGGGCATTGTTACAGAGATAAAGTATCAGGCAATCAATTTTGCCTATCTGAGGATCAAAATAATCCCTCTTTGCAAATACATAGCATTCATTATTTTCTGAATGTTCTCTTGCCATTAGGAATTGCTACAAATATACACTGAAAACATCCTACAAGAATAAAATGCTTAGATTTGTCAATGATTAAACTCCGTTACAAAAGGCAAGGGGAGCTCTTCGTGCATTCACAATCCCATGATAAAGGTAGAATGTTTTCCTTTGATGCTCTAATTATGTTTGCATGATTACATAATGTCCTAATTCACCTGCAGCTCTGAGTCTTTGGAGCCCTGTGATTTGTGTATTCAGGGTAGTATTACATTTGAGATTGAACAGAAAGGAGGCAGAAAAGAATCAATAGCCACTGCAGATAAAGAACTAAGGGCATCTCAAGGACTTAGATTCTGAGTCAATGTCAAGCCTGGGCTGGGGAGTATCCATAAAGCTTGCATAAATTATTTTATTTATGAAAATTAGTTCATTGTTTTAAGTTTAAACTTAAAAAGAGGCAAGAATAACAGATCTCAGATGTCCAAATGAAGTTTAAATAGATTTACCTTGAAAAAATTCTGTCCTTGCTTTTTTCTTTTTAGTCATTGCAACTAACAGGGTTAACACTGTTGTGATTTCCTCATCACAGCCAAAGGTTGGCTCAGCTCTCAACTCCTTACTAAACTGTTTATTTGTGGGGCTTGGAGAAGGAATAAAAAGCTCCTAAAAATTCCATGCAAAAAGGAATAGCTATCATAAATCTTACTGAGAATTACTGAAAAGTTATTTTTCTTTATTTTTCTAAACATGGGTTGACAATCTCACTAGAATATTGCAAAACGTAAAAAAGAGAGGCAAAAATAAAAGGACAACAAGACATTCCTCTAAAATTCTAGATTGCTCTACTATAAAGACACAGAAACTTTCGCATTCTGCTTCATCACAGATAAGAAGAAAGGATGACGTCGCCTCCCTTT